CACACACTTTCAAATACAAACCGTGTCTTTTCAAAAAGACTTTTTGGCCTTGTGGAAAAGCTACACCCATTTCTGGTGGAGAAGACCTGCACACACTTTCAAATACGAGGAGGTCAGGCACCCTTCAGAGAAAGGACGGTGGGTCTCTCTGCCTGAGACCCTGGAGAGCTGCTGTCAACGCTGGTGGACAATCTGAGTTTGAGGGATAAATGGTCTGATTGGATATAACGTAACTTGACTTGAATAGTCCTGACCTTACATAACAGCTAGTTTTGTTTACCACGTCATTGGCAAAATGCAGTCCAGGATGCCATCTGAACTGCAAATCTACCTTCATCCCATAAAAAGGTAAAGGTTCCCTTGCTCGAAAGCCAGTTGAATCCGACTCTAGGGTTGCGTTGCTCATCTCCGTTTCAAAGCCGAAGAGCCAGCGCTGTCCGAAGACGTTTCCGTGGTCATGTGGCCGGCATGACTAAACACCAAGGCACACGGAACGCTGTTACCTTCCCACCGAAGTGGTACCTATTTATCTACTTGCAATTTCTTGCTTTCAAACTGCTAGGTTGGCAGGAGCTGAAACTAGAGACGGGAGCTCACTCGATCATGCGGCAACTCGGGTCTCGAACTGCTGAACTACCAACCTTCCACAGCCTGTAGTTTAGCGTCTTAACCACTTGAGCCACCACAGCTCCCCACCTTCATCCCATACTGGAAACCAAAATGCCCCCCCCCAATTCTTCCATTTAAAAGTTTTTAAATGCTTCCTTAGAAATCAGTGTTTCAGTACTCAGCTGACTGAATACTGGACATGTGAGGCTACGTTCCTTGCCCTTCCGGTTTCTACCCAGCTTGGAATCATCCCCCCCCCATCACTCCTTCCTACCCAAGTCATTAAAGACACATTTCTTCACACCAGTTTCTTTGTTTAATGAAGAGATACTGCATAGTAACAAGACTGGTCCACTCTGCCAGAGAGTCCTTAAGGGAAATAAATAAAACAGATCACTTTAGCAAATAAGCACTTTCCCATGCAGATCCCTTATGCTGCTGATGCTTTCAGCTGAGAAACCATCACTATACTACAGAAGTGCACAAGGGCTCTTTCTAGTGCCCCTTCACCAGCAGCACAACACCGGGTTGAATCCAGCAATCTGTCAGTGGGGCAGAGCTTCCTCCCCTCCCTCTGGCAGCCATTTCCAGTCCTGGGAAAGTTGAGTCAGTGAAGAGGCAGGGCAGAGCCATTTTGCCTCTTTCCCCCTCCACACCACAGCCCACCTACATGTCTGGCTGCTAGTGCACATGGGTCTCAGGACCCCAGGAATCAACTTCTCTAGGGCTGGAAATGGCTGTTGGGGGATCCATGATCCTTGCACTAGCAGATCACTGGATCCACCCCACTGACTGGACAACCTTATTGTGGGAACTATATTATTGAGAGCACGGGCTATAACTATTTTGAATAAGTAAAAATAAGCAAATATCCATGTGTATGATATCAGGTGTATGTGTGCCATGTATGGAGGTCATAAATGGACCCCTGTTGTCAGGAGAAGCTAAAACAAATTGACCACCACAAATATTTGAACCAGGAGCCTGGGAAGGTAACTTTCCAGTTCCTTCCCAAGGGAAAAAAAGTGACATCTTACACTGGGATCCAGAGATAACTTTCTGCAAACTAAAACAGACCCGTATGTGCAGAATGGCTATTCTGTGCAAGATACACAGAAGGAAAACCAAGCCATGTCCAAAGATTCACTTTTGCACGTGCAAGGCTTTACCCAGTTTAGAAGTATGATTAAGCCAACTAGCACGTATGAAACATTTTGTATTTGCATGAGCAGCTATGTGAATGATATTTAGTCTTTTCTTTCCACTTCTCTGGATCTTAGACATGTTGTGTTTCCCCACCTCCCTGACAATGGGCTTGAATACCCACTGGCTTGGTTCACATTCTGTTTGCCAGAGTCATGAACAAGGAGTTAATTTTGTCAATGATTGGTTTCACTGTTTCTTGATCAGTTCATGGCTGTTCAATAGGAAGGAATACAGCGAAGCAGCCTGACAGTGCAAACCTGGCAGGCAACTGGCTTTTCCTGCAGCCATTGTTCCCTGCTGTGCCACCAAAAGGCTTTTGGAAACTTGTTTTTAACCAATAACTGCTACTGAGCTACTGCAGTCTAATCCAGGCACCACATTTCCCCTTGTGACCCCATAATGAAAGAGACTAAGAGTTACTTTGGTTAAATATGAAAGCTGGGACTTCAGCAATAATGGCAATACATCTTTAAAATCTCAGATTCCAATGGTGCAATAAAAAAAGGTAAAGGTAAAGGTTCCCTTGCTCGAAAGCCAGTTGAATCAGACTCTAGGGTTGCGGTGCTCATCTCCGTTTCAAAGCCGAAGAGCCAGCGCTGTCCAAAGACGCTTCCGTGGTCATGTGGCCTGACTAAACACCAAGGCGCATGGAACGCTGTTACCTTCCCACCAAAGTGGTCCCTATTTATCTACTTGCAATTTCTTGCTTTCGAACTGCTAGGTTGGCAGGAGCTGGAACTAGAGACGGGAGCTCACTCTGCCATGCGGCACCCGGGTCTCGAACTGCTGAACTACTGACCTTCCACAGCCTGCAGTTCAGCATCTTAACCACTTGAGCCACCGCAGCTCCTAATGGTGCAATAGCAGTTATCAATTAAAAACAAACACCAAAAACCTTCCTAGTGACATGACCAGCCAAAAAATGCAGGGAAAATGATTTCCTGCCATAATAATGCTGTGTTGTCAGCCGTAAATAAATGTTGTGTTGTTGTTTTTAAAAAACTATTTTAGTGTTGATCTAAGTAGTCCTTAGCTAATGGCTGCCAATCTACTAGGATTGGTAGCACTTTGTACATATGCAGTTTTGGAGGGGAAACCCCCAGTGCAAACCTGTTTGGTAGGCATTACAGTTGTTCACTGCCAATCAAGCAGACTGGGTAATGAGCTCACATCTGATCATCTCATTCAAATACAGTCTGTTCAACTGTTGAACACATCCAACATGAAATTCAAAGCACCCCTGATCTTACACTTAAGAAATTCAGTAGTTATTTCCAGAGCAAGTACCGGTACATACCGACATGCCTTGTACATAATCAGCTGTTACGATTTTGCATGTGAAGATGTACAAAGCTGATGGTACAGTCCCTTTCTATAAACCTTTCATGGCATATTAATTGTGGCATGAATACAAATCCATGCTCCTATTCTCTTGCCTTCTCTGCTAGAGAGTCTCATCTTAGACCTCTGGAATATGGTGATCAAAGACCAAGAATTTTAGGTCTACTAGGAGGAAGAAAATACTTTAAAAATGTGTAAGTTCAGTTTCTGAGCTCCAGCTTTTCTACAGATGCCCTGGGGCCTGTAAATGCCAGACCTGCAAACAGCCTGAACTACTGATGACAGTTTCCTTTAACTGAATGGAAACTGGGTTAAGAACAGCAGTGGCATAAAAACCAAACAAGTCTACGCTTTCAGACCACTTATGTTTTCTTCTCTAATATGCTGCTGATTTTTAATACGTTCTCTACAATACCTCATGGTGCTCTTGATTTCAAAGTGTTCCACTACACCAAACTGGCTCTAAAAATGTGTAAGTCCAGTTTCTGAGCTCCAGATTTTCTACAGATGCCCTGGGGCCTGTAAATGCCAGACCTGCAAACAGCCTGAACTACTGATGACAGTTTCCTTTAACTGAATGGAAACTGGGTTAAGAACAGCAGTGGCATAAAAACCAAACAAGTCTACGCTTTCAGACCACTTATGTTTTCTTCTCTAATAAGCTGCTGATTTTTAATACGTTCTCTACAATACCTCATGGTGCTCTTGATTTCAAAGTGTTATTTATTATGTTGAGAAAGACAGTCTAACTGGTTTTCTTCTTGGTATGGCACAAAATTACCCACCTGAAGGAAGGGCTTGTCCATGCAACTGTTCCCTTGGTTCCATTTGATAAAAATTTATTAGCGCCAGAGTTCCGAATCAGGCTTTTCTACATTAAGACACTAACTAGACTTGTACAAAGATGAGGGAGGGAATAAGAATGATTCACCCCAATTAATAATGCATTTACTTCTCAGGGTGGGGGAGACGACTCCTAATTCCACATTTCTCATCATTCAGGAAGATGTGTGCCCTGCAGACTACAGCTGCTAGTTACAGTGCAGGTAGGAGGTGTACTTCCCCACTTCCACGGATCACAAATAAATCAGGTAGCAGCACTCACCGCTTGGCCTGTGAAGTGCAGCTTTAGCCAGTGGAACAGGGGAATAGAATGTTTGTGCCATATGTACTTGTGGTGGAAGCCTTATGCTAATTTCCTCACAGCTACAACAGTCAATAGGATCAGAGTTCTAAGAGACTCAGGGAACAACCCTAAGCAGGCTTGCTTGGAAGCAAGTTCTATGGTGTTCAGTGGGGCTTAGTCCCAGGAAAGGGGTCTCAAGACTGCAGCCAGTCAGTTAGAAAACATCTGGGAAAAGGGGGAGAGAGAGGTGCAGTATCAGGTGTAGTGGTTAAGGATTCTTAAAAATTAAATATCCCTAGCCTTATAGGGATCTATTATAAACACAGAAGAAACAGTTAACTGTGTATGCAGCCGGGTTTAAGCGGAGCAAAAGTTGATTCTTTGATACCAACATTGATTTAACAAGTTACAAGCCTACCAAGATGAAATCCTTGACAAATTACTGAAATACGGGAGTCCTTTCCATGTTCAAATGACACCTATTATGTGACCTATAAAAGAAACCTTTACTTCGGAGCACTGGTGTGTGCATGTGTTGGATTTCTCTTAGGCGAGAGGCTTGCCATTTACAAACAAAGCCTATTAGAAACCCACTGAAGTCCCATGGACTATTCTAGGGAGGGGGAAGGCATGAAGGTAATCGGGGGGGGGGGGTTAAATGAAATGAGGTACAGTCTTCCAGCCATAGACCCAAAGAGGAAGGGGAAGCGGGGGGGGGGGGGGATTAAATGAAATGAGGTACAGTCTTCCAGCAATCTACCCCAGTAGGGCCCCAGTACTAAATAAATAACTTTGGGATGTGCAGCCCAGGGCTCTTTCTTCAGCCTCACTTATTCTTTTAAAAAAACAACAACAAACAAATCAGGAAGGCTAAGTGCAACAGACTCAAGCGACAGACTTCTTTTTGGACTGGCTAATGGTCATCATCTGCCCAGCTAACCCGCAGATGCCGTTCACTCCAGGAGTGGGAACTCTCTGCGAGCTCTAACTCAGCATCTTGTGCCGATCGAAGACCGTCTTCCTCTGCTCTTGCACCTGCCGCTTCCACCGCTGCTGAGCTCCTTCCACCCTCTCCAGCACCGTGTTTGCCCTGGTGCTGGCAGGAGGGCGCATGGCTGCCAGGGAATGGGCATCCTGAAACGCAAGGTAAAACAGACACAAAACAAAAAAGAGATGAAAATTATCTCAATAGACAGTTCAACAACTAATTTTCAGTGAAGTGCGCACAGCCCTATGGATTTTTCACACACTGCCCGTGACTGTGGTGGAAGCTGAAAGAAGTTTCAGCAAGCTAGCACTCTTTTTAAAACTGCAGGAGCTCTGCAAAGGGGTTCAGCCACCTGATCTACTGACTGTGGGCTTGCTATGGAAATGGACTCTGGGGGACTAATTTATGATTTTGCAATGAAGAAATCTGGAAAAAAATAAAGCTTTAAATTTAGTTGGCCTAATATGAACAGCCACGTTGGTCCATCAGAATTAAAAAAATAAATAAAAATCAAGACACTGGGAGGTTTATCCCTTTTTAATGACCAAAAAGGGACAAAATAGTTAGCATTAGTTATTATTAAACGTGAGAACACAGGAATTCTTCAGAAATATAGAATAGGTAACAGTGATTTCAGAATTAAAACAAACTTTTTTTAATGGCTCATGAGGTTGTATGTGTGGGATCAACTGTGGAGCTGGGGGTGGGGGGAATGCTGCAAGTCTGTACCAACCTGGAAAAAAAAATGCTTGGGCCCTTGCCTTCCACATCATCCTCTAGAAGGATTTGACTTCAGACCTCTAGGTCTCTGTCTTTATAGAGCAAAACTTCTTTGAGGAACTAATTGGCCATATATGGGGGTGGGGGATTTATATGTTGATGGTTATATAGATTGTCAAGATTATATGGGTTACAGATATATCAATCTACCTTGTACCTTTTCATCCCACCCTTCTTCCAAGAGTGTATTGTTCTCCCTCCCTGGGGAGGGGGCTGTGGCTCAGTGGTAAGCAGAGGGTCCCAGTCCTTGGCATCTCCAGCCACAAGGACCAGAGCCCGAGACTCTGGACGGCCACTGCCAGTCTACGTAGACAGTAAGTACTGACTCTGATGGACCAATGGTCTGATTCAGTATTTGGCAGCTTCATATGTTCATATGTTCCCTTGCCCACTTTAGCTTAAAAGAAACCAAAAATGTGACTAGCCCAAGGTCACTCAGAGAGCTGCACGTAATTTGATCCTGGGTCTCCCAGACCCTAATCCAAAATGTAGGACTGAAGCTGGCACTGAATCTGGTGGGATTGAGTCTGGTAGGATTGAGTCTGGTGCTAGTAAGCACCAAGAGCAGCCCTGTTCTACCAGACATACCTCGCTCTCTTCCTCATTGTGCAGTGGTTGGGTGTAGGCATCAGGCTTGCGGATCAAGGGGTCAACCAGCATCAGGAAGGCCATGTAGAGCAGCAGGGCTCCAATCACCGAGAGGTAAATGATGATTATGATCTGTATGTGAGCAGCCACAGCAATAGATCATCAAGGATTCTGGATTCTTAAGACAGCACTTAAAATAATAATCATATGGCCGAAACCATCTCAGCTGGGGAGAAAGTCAGTGTATGGAACTCCAGAATGACTAGGAGACACTGTATGACTGAACCAAGATAGGAAACACCTTAGGCTGTGATCACACACACTAAATAATCCACTTTCAATGCACTTTCGAATTGGATTTTGCCAGTTCACACAGTAAAAATCCAGTTGGAAAGTGCACTGAAAGTGGATTATTCAGTGTGTGTGACTGCAAACACCATGGCAGCTCGCTGACAGCCACCTGCTACACAACTAAATGATGAGTTCAGCAGCTTCCTGACATCCTATAGGATTTATATATGCCATGACTTCTCAAATGCAGTCACAGTAGTTGCATGTGAGCACCAGGGATTTCTGATGTGGCAACCAAGGAATTGGTCTGCTGCATTTACTGGTATGAAATGTTATGGGTTGTGGCCATATCTGCAGCCTGTAAGCATATTGTCTGGCCACAACTACAGCCACAACACAAAGACCCACATGATCACTACCAACCGCAGCTTTTAGTAGCACAGAAGTCATAGAGCTTCTTTATTCTGTCCTTCTAGACCTCTTTTGGATCAAAGTGGATTGCACAGGCACTGCACATAGTTCTTTATCTCCTCCATAGGTGAATCCCCCATCCTTTTAATTTCTGTGCTTCCGGGAAATTGCCTACAGCTGCAGTGCTTTGCTGAATACAGTCAGGAGGGACCAAAGGCACATCAGTCTTGTACAAGCCATGGGTTTGTCCTGTACCTTTATGGTGGTGGTGCTCCGTTCTTCATACTTGCACTCACACAGCAGGCAGTACGCTTCAACATCATTTCCCGGCACAGGCATCGGTTCCACCACATGCAGACAATTACTGCAATAGTGAGAAACAAGAATAAGGGGTGGATGTCCAAGATCTCCCGTACCATGGAGGAAAGCAGGTGTCGGCTCTCGAGGAGGAGATACTTGGATAAAAGAAGCAAATTGGGATATAGCACTGGCTGAAATCTATTAGGAGGGAATTTGGAAATAGCGTATTAAACACCTGCCACTGATTTAGAGTGGAGCAGTGTCTGGAGGACTGCCAGGTCTAGACTACACCTTAACAAGGATCCAGGATTCCTCCCTTACTAAGGGAGATTCTGAAGAGGCTCTTCTCACCTTTTCTTAATGCAGAGGATGCTCTGTGAAATGACAGGACATAGGGAACTAAGTTCAGTGCTGCCCGCGTTTACCTTCTCCATCACGGGCCACAAAACTGTCCACAGACCTGTATTTCATAAAGTCAGAATGGCCATTGTGGGTTACTTCTGTACATGATTCCAAAACATACGACTTCCCTATGAGCAGGGGAACACAGCACCATGCAAACCTCTGGCTCTGAAACTACTACAGTATTATTCAGACTTCATTCCCTTGATCACCAATGTCAATCTGGTAATGTATGTATTTTAAGCGGTGTTAATTTTGTTAACTGGACTATTACTTATGTCCTCACAACTTGGTTGCTACACCAGTCACCGCCTTGAGTCCAATGACAAAAGGCAGGATCGAAATGTTTTAAATAAAATAAGTGCATGATTTTGAATGTATCTTTCTGATATTCATTTCAGCTCAAGAGCCAGGAAGGGAAAATTACAGACCCTAGCTATTCACACCAGCTCAAACTTAGAACTGTGTTCAAGCCAGAGAGTCTTCTGTAAAAAACCTAGGGTTTCTGACTTGCAGAGGTGCTCTCGTTATGTATTTGGAAGGCCGTCACCTAGAGGAAGGCAGGGAGCTGTTCCTGTTAGCAGCAGAGGAAAGGATTTGCAATAATGGGTTTAAATTACAGGCAAAGATACCAGCTAGATATTAGGAAAAGATATTTTATAGTAAGAGTAGTTCAGCAGTGGAATCGGCTGCCTAGGGAGGTGGTGAGCTCTCCCCTCACTGGCAGTCTTTAAGCAGTGACTGGACAAACACTCATCGGAGATGCTCTAGGCTGATCCTGCACTAAGCAGGGGGTTGGACTAGATGGCCTGTATGGCTCCTTCCAACCCTCTGATTCTATGGCCATGTCCAAGCGGAGCAGTGTCTGGAGGACTGACAGCACTGCAGCTGCTGCTGGGCTTGCTCCTGTCTGCCAGTGGCCCTTCCCTGTATGTTCAAGGGACAATCTGCCCCCTGGCTTGGATGCTGTGGCTGGAGGCTGACTTACCAGTCTTTCTGTGACACATTCTTCTTATAAATTTGTCCACTGATGTTCCTGTATGGGGGGCAGATGCACTTGCAGCGGATGTCCTCAAAGCTCTGCAGATGCAGAACAGAATATCAATACAGTAAAGGAATACTTGTCAAAAAGTGCTGGCCCATCACAGGAGATACAACAGGGCCACATTGTGTGCCTGCTAGCACTCTTTCTCTCCTGCTCGATATCTGTGTCCATAATGCCACGTGGATTTAGTGTCTTCAAGGTCTTAGACTGACTGCAAGAATTAAAATAAATTCTTCCTATTCCCAAAAGGTGAGTCTCAAGTTGTGCTTAGCTGGAGCTCAACTAGAGAGCAACCAGCAGAAACCCACATCTTACAGGTTTATGATATGTGTTTGCTCAGAGAAAGTTATCACTGTGTTTAATATGGCTTACTTCCAAAGACTGCAGGGAACATCAATCATCTTTTAGCAACCATCAAGTTCTCTCTACCGTACAGCTCTAAAAGGACAAGGCGATATCTTTTGCTGGATTGTCTGACATAGGTGCAAGGGAGTGCAAGCTTTCAAGGGACAGAGGAGCTTCTAATAGGCGCACACTGTTCTGCAGCCCATTGAAAAAATACAAAAACAGCATAAACTATAAGAACAACAAAGGCATAATAACCAAGCCCAAGTGAATCATGGGAGAGTTCCATTAGCATCAGGAGCAATCCTCCCTCTACGCTGTGGAGTCCTGTGAGCAAATATTCTACTTTATGAGCTACTGGTATTAAAGCTGTGAGCGAGCGATTTGGCTGCTGTATGCTCTGGAGCCATCCTTCCTGAGTTAAGATGAAAATGTGTGAGCTGGAGGCTAAAAAACTGTAAGCTAGCTCACACTAACTCAGCTTAGGGGGAACACTGATCAGGAGTAATATTAAAAATGTATATTTAAGCATCTCTCCTATTAAAATCAACATGATCTGTAACTTCATGACTGCAGCTAGAGCATGACCCAATGAGTCCTCCATGCAATGCCTGTCCCCTCTTTTGCATTTAGTGCCTTTTAAAAACCCTCTACCAACCCTCTTGCTTCCACACCTTGGTGGCCTCAGATGGTGGTACCAGGACACACCAGACAACAGCAGTGAGGGACAAGAATTTCATGGTTTCTCAGATGTGCTGCATGAGCACTACAGGAGCCTGAAACAGAGAAAAGCAAAGGAGATCAGCAAGTTTCTTTTGCAGAGCACCACAGGTCATTTTCAGTTACTCAAGGGTAGACAATCCCCAGTATACATGCTACAAGGCCACAGCATGGAGCCAGTTCTTCACACAAGGGACCGAATCAAGTCACCAAGGGGCTGGGCAGTGCTGTTGAAGCTCAGATTGTTCCCAATGTGTCTGGCCAAGGACAACCCTTGTCTCCCTACCTCCTTATTGCCCGATGACCACAAATGATCACAGATAGATATGGGGGGGGGGGTTTGGCAGCGGCACAAGGGCTATAAAGGTTGCCTTTCTCTGCTCTAGATTACTGTTCTTGTTCACCATCCACAGCTAAACATACTTTTCTGTCTAACCACTGTTGGCAACAGGAGTGTATCCATCCTCCTTGTTATCTCCAACAACCCCAAGCCTTCAAGAAATTGTCGGTCAAGTTTTAAAGCACTAACTTGGGACTCCCTCTGATTGCAAAAGTTGATGGATACGGCCCAGCAAGAGTGGATGTAACACTCTCTGATGTTGTGCCCCCCCCAAAACAACAACATTGGACCTCAAAAGCTGTCCCGTAGGGAAGGAGGAATAAACTTCAAGAGGGGCGTCCTACCTTGGAAAAAGGATGTAACTCTTGTGTTCATTAATTCTTTGGACCTTTGCCTGTTCAAGTCCTACCTTGGAAAAAGGATGTAACACTTGTGTTCATTAATTCTTTGGACCTTTGCCTGTTCAATCAACAGGGAGAAATTCTGCACAGCATGCAGCCAAAATACTGCAAGGGACAAGCAATGCAAAGAGGGAGGTGTTATTCTAACAGCTATTCCACATTACATGGCATTCCTAAACTGATCTCCTGAGAATCCTAAAGTCTGTTCAGTGGGGCTTATTCAAAGGAAAGTATCCTAAAGGTGGCACTGTTAGTCACTGAAAACCAGCTCCTGCAGTCTGCAGAGTCATACATTCCTCTGCAGTCTTTCCCAGTCTAATGAACAAGTTAACAGCCATAGATGGCAGGACCAGCAAAACTGGTATAACAATTCAGACAGACAGAATGATTCTTGCCTGGCTGCCTATGGAAGCTAGAAGTTGCTTTCAGACCATAGGTCAGTGGTGGATCACATACCTTGTATACTGAAGACGCTGGGTTCAGCCCCTGGTATCACCAGTGTAAAACGACAGGCTTAAAAATAAAATAATTATCAAAATGCTGTTATGTACATCTCTGGTGCCACCACATCTAGAATACTGCACACAGTTCTAAGCAGAGGATCTCCGAGAGCTGGAAATGACAGAAAAAAGTCAAATGGAAGGATTAGAGCACCTTAAGGAAACAAAGAGGACTGGAAGAAAAACGTTCATGCAAAGCCTATTTCATACAAGAGATCAGTGTTCCCTCTAAGCTGAGTTAGTGTGAGCTAGCTCACAGTTTTTTAGCCTCTGGCTCACACGTTTTTGTCTCAGCTCAGGAAGGATGGGGCTCCAGAGCAAACCAATGCATGCAGTAGCCAAATCGCTCACTCGCAACTTTAATGCCAGTAGCTCACAAAGTAGAATTTTTGCTCACATGACTCCACAGCTTAGAGGGAACATTGCAAGAGATCCACCACTACAAGCCCAAGCTTTATTTCTGTTCTGCCTTACAAGACACCCAGGTGTCCTCCTGATTACTACTACAAAAATCAGAACAATTTCTTCAAGCCTTACATACTGGAAGATGGGGGGGGGGGGTTGGAAGCCTCAGGAAGAAGGACCAGTCAGAGTTAAGATGCATAAGGGAAGCTGTGATTGGACCAAGGTGGTGCTGCTGGACTCAGGCCTCCTTCTCACATCTCTTTGTCATCTCTCCCATTTGCGTGCTAATTTGCTGCCATTCATTGATCTTGCTGCCTTGATACAACCTCAGCTTCACCTATGCATTTTAACTCTGACTGGTCTCACCCCTCCCCCATCTTCCTGTAAGTAAGGCTTGAAGAAATTTTGTTTCAATTTGTCTGAGGGAGTGTGCTTGCACACCAAAGCTTACACCTTAAAAAAAAAGCTTACTTTTAAAGGGAAGAATACTTTTTTTTGGTCCAGCTTCTTAGTCCCTGTCGTTCTTGGGGCAGCTTGAAACGTTTTCCCTTGTCCCAAATTCGGAAGCTGCAGCAAGTGCAGAATACGGCAGCCAGGCTGTTGTTGGGTCTCCCTATGTGGGAACACATCCACTCGCTAAAAGCACCGCACTGGCTGCCTTCAGTGTACCGAATTCAGTTCAAGGTGCTGGTACTTACCTTTAAAGCCTTTTATGGCCAGGGACCTATGTACCTAAAGGACCGCCTTTCCCCATAAAACACTGTGATCGGGTACTCAAAATCACCTGGTCCTCCCAGGCCCTAGAGAAGCCAGGCTTGCAGCAACAAGGGCCAAGGCCTTCTTGGTGATGGCTCCATACTGGTGGAATGAGCTCCCAGAAGACATCAGGGCCCTGCGGGACCTTTTACAGTTCCACAGGGCCTGTAAAACCGAGCTCTTCCGCCAGGCATTTGATTAAGGAGCTGCCGCAACCATCTGAGGCCCTGGCCCCAATACCATCAATATCTTAACAACACCAATCATTAACATCATTGAATAGCCTGTGTCTTGCTGACATGACCCAGACCATGCGCTAATTGATTGTGGACTCCTGCCATGTTATATGTCATTGCTAGCACTTTATGTATTGTTTTTAGATTTAATTTATTGTAATTTTAACTGATAAATTGTTTTATCAGTAATAATGCTGTGAGCCGCCCTGAGCCTGCTGCGGCGGGGAGGGCGGGATAGAAACCAAATAAGATAAATAAATAAATAAATAAATTTCCACCTTGCACCATCTGATCAAAAGAAGCCTGCAACACTCCCCCTTCACCATGGTAATTCCTCTACAAACTTCCCTTATGCCTTTTTGCATCACACGCTGACACATCCTTTCTTCCCCTCTCCCCCCCCTCCCCTTGTACTGAATGACCTCACCTTGAGTTCTGAAGAACTTGAAGAGTGGCTCGGCACTATTTTTGTAATAAAAACACAATACCACTACTACAAGAGATGATGAAAAACAGTGGCTTAAATGGCTTCGAAAAAGGATTAGGCAAATCCACATCTGTGGGTGACAGAGCTGGCAAGGGCAATTATTTATGACAGCTAAAAAACCGAGCCTCCATATTCAGAAGCGGCACACCAACCAACAACCAGATGCCGCAGACAGTTCTAATTAAGCACTAGTGCATTTCTGCATGCCTCTTGAAAAACCGTAATGGATACACAGCAATGCAGATCATATTTTGTCGAACAATGTATTCTGTCTGAATCCAACGTCACGCAATTATTCATCGCGGGAGAGAAAACTGACCCGTTTGCAGAAATCAGCGAGCATTACGGATGCAAACTGAACGACACAATTCTCCCCAAAGTCTCTCCCCGAATGTACAAGCATTAGTCACAAAATAATCAAATACCCACCGGCGCAGCTCCTAGAAACAGTGGACTCGAAGCCAATCTCCACTCATGTCTTCCGCTGACATCATTTTAACAGACACCATTTGCAGCCAACCACAGCCTTAGCAAGAGGCTGCACTAAGGGACCATCAATAAATCTGTATCCTTGATTTGAGAAGAAAAAAAATCAGCTCAGAGATGTTCATCTTTAATAGAAATTTAAAAAGCAGTGATGAGGCTTCCTTGCGTTTCTGTTTTCTTTATATTAGGATAAACAAGTTCTGTTTTAATCACCTCCATGCGCTTCATCAGCCCAGGTGGACATCTTCACTCACCGAGGACATCAGGTAAAGGTAAAGGTTCCCTTGCTCGAAAGCCAGTCGAATCCGACTCTAGGGTTGCGGTGCTCATCTCCATTTCAAAGACGTTTCCGTGGTCATATGGCCGGCATGACTAAACACCAAGGCGCACGCCACCGAAGTGGTACCTATTTATCTACTTGCAATTTCTTTCTTTCGAACTGCTAGGTTGGCAGGAGCTGGAACTAGAGACGGGAGCTCACTCCGTCATGCGGCACCCGGGTCTCGAACTGCTGAACTACCTACCGACCTTCCACAGCCTGCAGTTCAGCGTCTTAACTACTTGAGCCACCCCATGATTAAAGCTCCTAATTGTTTAGCACCAGAGTACCAATGAGCATGGGGTCTGGGTAAAAGTCGGATCTACATGGATCCTCATTTCATATGATTTTTAAATTGAAAGGAAATAAAACCACCATCATACTGTAGGCCATGTGTTACTCTATAGGGGGCACCACAAAAATCACGCATCCCCAGATTCATGGCACAACAGCGCAAAAACATGATTCCAAAGCACGAATCCTCATGAATTCATATGATATTTATGCTGAAACAAAATAAAAACACCAGCATTCTGAAGACCATGTCTTAGACTATAGCAGCACTACAAAAATTATGCCTCCACGAATTTGTGACACCACAAAAGTTGCCAGTGCTGTCCAAAGACTTTTCCGTGGTCATGTGGCCGGCATGACTAAACACCAAGGCGCACGGAACACTGTTACCTTCCCACCGAAGTGGTCCCTATTTATCTACTTGCAATTTCTTGCTTTCGAACTGGTAGGTTGTCAGGAGCTGGAACTAGAGACGGGAGCTCACTCCGGCATGCAGCACACTCGGGTCTCGAACTGCTGAACTACCTACCGACCTTCGCAGTTCAGCGTTTTAACCACTTGAGCCACGGCAGCTCCTCAAGCGTGTCTACTTAGAAGTAAATTCCATTATATTCAAGGAAGTTTACTCCCACGGAGGTGTGCATTTCCGATTGCCCGTAGTTAGGATTAAGTGTAGAATTATGGAGCCTGTTTTTATTTCAAAAACAAGTGAGGAAAACAGCGCCTAGTTTGGGCATGGACCGAGAGATGGGAACCCTTCGAGTTTGCTTGAAGATATAAGGAATAATTGCCACAAAATGAATGAAATAAACGCACCATGTGCAACTCTGTTTCAGAAATGCTTTGTTTTAGAAAGGCGTTATTAAAGACGTGGAACGAGATTAAAAAATCTTTTTACAGTAAAATACCAAAATGGGTTTCTCCCTTGGAGGCTTTTTCTAACCCAAATTTAATGAATAAACCCAGATTGACTACTTACGATAATCTACTAGATAGGGATGGAGAACTGGAATCTCAGGAAATGTTAAAAGCCCAAGGGATATCATTATCCTGGTGGGAGAGCAATCGACTTGAATCCAGGTGCTCTAAAGATAAACAAGCTGGGTTTGTGCAAGAGCATTCTGGCCTGGATAAAATTTTGATAGGCAGCGGAAATAAATTTATTAAGAAACTTTATTACTTCTAACTAGATTATAAGATGCATGAGGAAGAAGTAAAAGTTTCTATGATCTCCTGGGCAAGGCATATAGAAAACAATATCGAATTAATAAAATGGGATAAGGTATAGCAGAATTTGAAATTTATGTTCCACCGGGCGGTGGTATTTGACCCCTGATAGGCTTGCACGGTGTTATTCAAATTTTTCAGATAAGTGTTGGAATTGTAAGGTTAAGGTGGGCACTTTCTATCACCTCTGGTGGACATGTGATAAAATTAAACATTTTTGGAGAGAGATTCACAGCATTCTGGTACAAATAATGAACACTCAATTTCCACTTGAACATGAAATGCTTTTATTAAATATCATGCCAGATAGGTTTCAGAAGAATGATGTTTATTTGCTTACACACTTGGTTACTGGTGCCAGGATGACATCAGGTAAGTTTTGGAAGACAGAAGACATCCCAACATGTGATTATATAACCAAGGTCATAGAGGTAGTGGAAATGGACAATATGTCTTTGAAGCTATGGGGAAAAGAAGACAAGACTTTTCAAGACATCTGGTTAAGATTCTACACCTGGTTAGACAAGAACTATTAATCTGATTAGGTTTTTCTGTTTTGCCCTTAAATATGTACCTCTTGTATACATCTGTGGAAGGTTTTGTTCTTTTTGTGTGGGGTTGTTTTTGTGTGTGTTATGGTTTGCTTTGTTTATACCAAAAATAAATAAAGAACAAGGGCTTGCGCCCAAAAGAAAAGAAAAGCTTAAAGCATTCGTCGATACAACTTCTTTAAAATGGCAAGATCCTCGAGCAGCAAAAATTTCACTAAAGAGCGAATTTCTATCAGATGCCGCTTCTCCCTGTACTATATGATCCTTCAAACTGCAACTGGCGTAATGCCATTCTTGTCAGAGGGAGATGCCGACCGCATTGCACACGCTAATCCTGTAACAACACCCACCCCCCGTTAAACTCCCCAGTCGGCTTTGATATGCAAACGGTTAATTAAGTCAGGAAGTGACCTCACCACGAGGGCGGAGACTGCAGGAGAAACCTCTGCGGGGCGGCTGCACCGGTGCGATGGCCGCTGTGGACTGTATCATTAAGCTGGGAGGCAGTGCACTGACGCAGAAAGACCAGCTGGAGACGCTGAAAGCCGGAGCCTTGCAGAAAGCGGCTGCGCTTGTAGCTAAACTCTACGGGGCTGGAGAGAGGCGGTGCATTATTGTGCACGGCGCAGGGTAGGACGCACGCCAGGCGGGGCTCGCTCAGGACGGTGCGGTGGTGGGCGGGGCTTGTCACAAAGATCTGTTCCATGCACTGTTCCCACTCGTCGCTCGCGTGGAGTTGTTACCGGAGTGGCTGAAGTTTAAGCCCTAGACTCGCTTTAGAGGGAAAATGTGACCCCCCTCCCCCTTGGTGCAGGCACCGAATGTTTGCGTTACATTGAGGGCCTGTGTGGTTGAACGTGCGGTTTCAAGATACACTTATTCCACTAATGGTTCCCGGTTCTGTTCTTAAAACGGTCGTGTTTTGACTAATAAGCCCTTTTCTGAGGTATTACAACCGTGCGAACGGAGAGCCCAGGAACAAAAGCCCATGCCCGGAGTGCTTTCTTTAATGGATGGCAAATGTCTGTATTTCAGATGTAGAAACTGACAATAGGGGAAGTTTAAAACTTGGGTGGCAAAGGCTCTGTTTAATGGTTTGGAAAATAAAAGGCAGCTCCATATACTTCAAGCATGGGCGGGTTATTTGGCCCAAGTTATTCATGCACTACAGTTTTCTAATATATCTTTCTCTAGGCTGTAGCACTTCAGCTTGAAGGGTTCATTTGACATGTTTGAATGGCCCCTTCTCAAGAAAAAAATGTTCTGTGTAGAAATCTAGCATGTAGTTGAGAGACTTTCAGCATCCCAGCCATGCCCCCCCATATGTAGGTTTGAAGCATACAAACTCCTGTCTGAACAATATGCTAATTAATTTGGGTGCATGTACAGAAGTAGGCTTTTCTAGAAGTAGTTTCAAAGTACTGTGCTTTCCTAGCACAATTCAGGCAACTTTACAAATAATAATAAATTGACAGCTAATGATTATTTCAAAAATATTTATGTGGACTGTTAAGTATGCAACTCAACAACAAAGTAAGAACTGATTCAGCTTTATTAAAGAACTAGCAGTAAAGCCCGTTGTGAAAGCAATACAACAAGATCTAGAAGGAGGCTCTGGGGCAGTGCTCTGGCTTTGGGCAAACAGTGTCAATTTGCTGTGGTGACCTCAGCAGGGTATAATGACAGAGTCCACTGTTTTCTCCAGAGGAACTGATCTCTGCTACCTGAAGAGCAGTTGTAATTGTGAGTAATCTGTAGCCCTCACCTGGAGATTGGCAACAATTGTTACCCAGGACAAAATGGCTGGTTTGGAGGGTGGAGTCTATGGCATTCTACCTGTCTGAGGTCCCACCCCTCTGCAAACCCCACCCTCTCCAGGCTCCACCCCTCAAATCCCCAGGAATTTGTCAGCATGTAGTTGGCAACCCCATCTCCTTCCCAGCTAGCCACCAACCTACCATTATCTGCCCCTTTGACTTCAGCTGACTTCTGCCCTCCCTTCTGCAGAGCAGTTGTAATACTGAGTGCTCTCCAGCCCTCACCTGGAGATTGGCAACAATGGTTCCCTATGTGGGACTGACTGGTTTGGAGGGTGGAGTCTATGGCAGTGTACCTGTCTGAGGTCCCACCCCTCCTCAAACCTCACCCTCTTCAGGCTCCATCCCTCAAGTCTCCAGGAATTTCCCATCTGGAGTTGGCAACCCTATCAGGATTGGCCCCAATGTGTTTTCTCCCAAAGGCCAAAGTAGGTGACAGGACCAAGCTTAGTTGCCTACCAACAGGCACTGAGGGGAATGTAGGGTTGCCAGCTCTAAGGAGGGAAATACCTGGAGGTTTGGGGGGTGGATTCTGTAGAGGGCCGGGCGACGGAGGCATCGGCCTTCTGTCGCCCGCCTTGCCCCCCCAATCTCGGCCCGGGCACCCGCGGCTCCCACCAGCGGCCGCCCGACTCCAGACTCCCCCGCGGCCACTCCAGCCAGGCGACGGAGGCATCGGCGCTTTAAGATCTCTCCAGCTGTCACCTGGAGACTGGCAACAGCTTGTCTGGAGTGTGGGCAGTATGGCATTGTATCTGTCTGAGGTCCCCCTCTTCCTCCTCAGACTCCACCCTCAGCAGGCTTCATCCCTAAAATATCTTGGAAGTTTCCAACCTGGAGTTGGCAACCCTATGTCCTTTCCTGGCTACCATCAGCCAACCTTTATCTGCATGTCTGTCTTAAGTTTTACACACACACACACACACACAGCCTCTGCCTAGGGAAAGGGCAGCCTTTCCCTGCAGTGGTAACCAAAGCAGCTGACATCATTCTCCTCTCCCCTATGAGGTATGTTATGCAACTGAAAATTCCAACTGCCTTGCTGGGGGGGGGGAGTTTGAGGTGTGGAATGGAGTGAAGTCCAATCAGCTTCCATATGCAAATGACCTTGGAACGCTGGGCGGGACTGCACAAAGCCGCCAGTCAACCCAGTGGCAGTTCTTCCGGCCTAACACTAAAGGGGCCAAATTTAGAACGTTGCAATATAGAACGTTGCTATTCAATTATAATTATTAAAGAATGAGAACTTCCAAGATCACACAACATCTGATGACACACCACAAAGCAACAGTGGAGCACAGCTCCTTTTAAACTCTCCTGGGCTGGGGTGGCCACGCCCTCTCATAGTTAACATCCAATCACATGGTAAAGATAACGTCCAATCATTTGTCTTCCCTCCAGCACAGACTCTTACATTTCATTGGTTACATAACACGCTTCAGCCAATGGTGTTGTTTCAGCTTAGAATCCGGCTGAGGTCTCAAGCTTAACATAGGTTTAGATGGAGTGAATACAGAACATGGACGTTTCTGTGCTCCTCAGAAAGTACTGGGTGTGTTCAGACGGGCTGTTTGATCAACTTTCGTCATGCTTCAGAAACAGATTTTATATGCGCGATCACACAGTCAGCATCTGCCTCCTGTCCCCAGCCGTTGGTTTCCGGCTCAAAACTGCTTTAACCCGGAGTATTTTGTTACCAGGTCCCAAAGTGGTGTTTTTTCAGCTCTCCTGTTTAAAGTCGCATTTCCCCCTGCGTGATCGCTCCTCCGGTGTCAAGCCACTTCTGGTTTAAACCCCCTCCCCGCTCAAAAGCTGCCCGAGGCTTCCGCTTTTTGCCTGCCATTTTTTTTAGCATCGGCGGTGCGTGCATAGGCGGAACTCCATTACCGTGTTTTAAAAACTGACATTTAAACCGTCACTTGTTTTAGAGTTTAGATGAGATCGGGATCTCACGGAGGCCATTTTTGGGTCAAACGTTTAAAGGGAAGTCTTTTGTTGGAGGGGTTGGATTGATTCGCCCTGGTGGTTCTGCGCATGCGCCATGGTAGTTTCTCCCCGCATTCTACGGAGGGGTGCCGATGCGCATGCGCAAACAGAGAAAAAATTTAAAAACCCGCTGACACACGATCCCGCGCGTCGGTAGTGTAGATGTTGGGAAGCGACTGCGCAGTGAGGTGGGATAAGGGAGGTAAGTGTGATCGCGATTATCCAGATCAAATATAATCCAGTCCGAATCGGAGCAGTTTAACCCGCTCTCAGCACACCATCTGACCACACCCCAAGTGTCTCACAGATTTAAAAAAAAAATTAAAAAATTCAATAACTAGTTTGAAAAAAATAGTATTTAAATAAAACACAGGTGTGTTTTGGTCCACTGAACTGCCTAGCACAGAGCTTGGGCTGTGAGCTGTTCTTCCAGGTTTTTGGAGTTGACCTTTCAGTCCAGTTACTTTTCTGGCTGCGTGTTCCTTCTCATGTTTTAAGTATTTATGGTGGGTTGTAATTTATCTGTATCTCGGGATTAGGCAGGCTGAGAGAAAGTGTCTTGGCCAGACCGCCTCCCCTGTTGAGATCATGAGCCACCTAGATCTGATCTCGCTGTGTTCCCTGTAACGTGCCACCTCCTTGTGTGTGACTTCAGGTAACTAGGATGGAGGTGCTCCAGTACTTTCAATAGCTGCCACCTTTCCATCTCTTCTGGATTTGAATCTCTCTTGGAATAGCCTGATGGATGTGCACTTCATCCATTCTCTACTTGTCCAGGACTGAAGTGTGCTTCTGGTAGACATGAAAACATCTAGGACAGCGTGGTCTGTTTAAGAGCCAGCATGGTGTAGTGGTTTAGAGCAGCGTACTCTAATCTGGAGAACGGGGTTTGATTCCCCACCCCTTAACATGAAGCTTGCTGGGTGACCTTGGACCAGTCACAGCTCTCTCAGAACTCTCTTGGCGCCACCTGCCTCACAAGGTGCTTGTTGTGGGAAGAGGAAGGGAAGGAGATTGTAAGACACTTTGAAACTTCTTAGAGTAGAGAAGTGGGGTATAAAAACCAACTGTTCTTCTCTTCCCTTTCTTAATCAGCTACAGAGGTGGAGCTGATTTCTTATGGATATTCTTTTTTAAAAGAATCAAAGGAAATAACTCTCCAGCTTTAAATGGAGTCTGTAGGATACACACATACCAAGTATATGTCCATTTCTCTCTGTAGAAGGGCAGGGGAGTGCTTTGCCAACTTGTTGCTTGCTCAGAAAATGGAGCTGCTGTTACGAGGACTGGCTTGACTTTCACATACAGCTCAACCTCCCTCCTTGTGACTGGCCCCTTCCCATATTTATATTGTTTCTCGTGCATCTTCCAGAATGATCATGCTCTGCTCTTTGCAGTTCCCTCTGTCCCTTGGCATCCTCTTTTTGGCTCATGATTCTGAATGATGAATTTAAAAAACAAAAAAAAGAAAATGGAGCCGCTATCAAGGTCAGCCCAAGACACTTTTGTGCCTGAAGCAGAAAATCCAAATGGCGCCTCTTCACCCCTGCCGTGCTGGCGAACGTGTAAAAATAAACTAATTGACAGCTTGCTGCCCTTAAAAGGAACCCCCAAATCTGTTGTCTCACCCTGCTGCCTAATGGAAGAGCCGGCTGTGCTTGCTGTTGTGTTTATCACTGTGAGGATGAAATCATGGGCACGTCAATCCTTTCAAGTGACATTTAGCATGTGATAAGTTTACAGCCTCTTGGGTTTCTTCCCATGGCCAAGCAATTCTGGTATCTAATACACAATGCCAGGTGCTGTTTGGTGACTTCCTAACCTGAC